ATCGGATTTACACTATGCCGACGGCAATTCAACGACAGTTACAACATTTACGTGGGAAAGTGGAACGACCTACTGAGAGAGGATCCAAACCAAAAGCTCCACGACACCTTCCACCCCATCACGGGAGCTCGTCACGACTTGGCTATAAACACGTTTATGGACGACATTACAAAAAGCCACATCATCCCAAACAATAGCACGCCACAGGAGATCATCTCACAGATCAACGAAGCAACAACAAAGCTCACTGACACCATCAAAGTAGGAGGCTGGTGTCTCAACAACGGCAAAACCAACCACCTCCTGGACCTGAAAGGACGGGGCAGCTACGCTCGCACCCGTAGGATACGTAGGGCCAAAGAGTTAACAGGGGCAGCACTACGTGAGATGAGAGTACTAGGACCATACACTCCCTCGGACCAGGGCATGAGAGGAGAGATCCGCAGAAGGTGCGACGCAGTGCGACTAGCTTGGCGGCAGGGCGGGATCTTCTGGTCATCGAAGGCGGCGTTCGACATCAAACGGATGATGTTCATTGCCTTTGTGTACGGAGCAGCACTCAGCGGATTGAATTGCTTCGTCTTGCCTCAGGCCGCCACAGATGCACTCGACTCCCTCATCGGCAACTATCTGCGCACACTAGCACGAGGTAAAATGTCGTGGGTTAGGGGGGATGGGGAGACACGCTGCCACAGCACAGCCAGAGTATTTAGGGAGTGGCGTCTGCCTCGGACAGCTACAGCGTTGCGAATGCGTCGACAGAAGTGGTACCAACAGTGGGCCCGACAGCCTCACGAATGCAGCAATGTGGTAGCAGCAATATTTGGCAGCTCCGTTATGGAAAGATTAGCGGGAATATCACGACTAGAGAGAGGGGATAGAATGGGGCAGCAATCAACACCAATGGCAAAGCAGTACTTAGCAGACCTAGAAGCATTGGCAGCAGTGGATGAAGGCATGAGGGAGTGGTGGAGAGAACGTAAGACCGACCTCGATATCCTCCGACACGGTACGAAAGAGAAGGAAATGTGGACACAAACCGACCCAAATATCCTACACAATGCGACGGTGGTCTGGGACGGGCAGGAGGAGGAGGTGGACGAGGAGAAGGGGGAGGAGCTCATTTCGAAACCGTTCTGGTGTGACTACGTGTGCGAAGACACGGAAGGTAATCAGTCGGTATGTGGGAAATGCTTTGCTACGCCTCAGGCCCTGAAAGCACACAAACGAGGAGCTCACAACGAATACACCCTCCTGTCCCAGATCGTGATTACAAACCAGTGCCCATGGTGCATGAGCGTATTTAACAAGAGGAAGACAGCGATAGACCACGTTCAGCGGGCATGCGACCGACACGGAGTTTGCCACATTGACTACTCAAAATGGGCACATGAAGTAATTATACCAGAAGTGTTGACATGTAGCATCTGTGATCATGTGGCTCGAGACTTGCACTCTTTTCAGTTACACGTACGTGAGCACCACGTCGGACCAGAGAGCGTACTCGAACGATCGGATGATCCTCCCACCGCCGTGCGAGGCCTGGCAGATCGGAGCCGACAAGCGAGGAGGAGCACCGGCAGCAGGGTCGGGGGGGCCCGCAAGAAAGGCGCGACCGACAGCAGCAGGAGATGGCGGGGAGCCGCCGCGCGGGACGGGCAGGGACCTCTTCGACGAAGATTACGACCAGAGGGACCAGGCGTTGCGCAAGCTGGTCTTGAAGAACAGCCAAGAAATACGAGATCTCATGCACCAGACGGGGGACTTCTGGCTCGTGCCCGCAACGTCCAAGCCATTCGCAGCGGGACTGGAAGCAGGCAAAGAATATGGAAAAGCGGTTCGTGCAGCAGGAAAAAAGCACGGGCTTGGATCTCCGCACGTGCACGTGGCGATGGCAACGCTCAGGTCCCTCCACGACGAGATAGACGGAGAACAAGGGAGCGCCCTGGAGAAGTCCAGCAAGCAGGTCATCAGGGAGTTCGTGGAGGCCACCAATCACACGAAGGGCAACATCCTAGTGGAGGAGATGATCCTCGCGTTCAAGGTCCAGGAGACGCACAAGCGCGAGGACCTGGATGCAGGCGACCGCCTGGGGAAGATCTCCTTCACCCTGAACCCGACGCCGTGCCTCCAGGCGAAACTGGCGAATCACGAGGTGGGGGAGCAGGCCATGGAGGCAGTGAAGGTGTACGAGGTGATGAAGTTGAAGACGGCCATCACGATCGGCGTGCAGTCCATCAACGGCAAGAAGGCGACGGGCCCTGGCCCCAAGACAGCGCTGGAGAGGTCAGTAGAGAGCACGTCGCGGCGCAGGTGAGCACCACTCCACCGAGCCGCACCCCGTCGTCGAGGAAGAGACGACGACTTACCACGACGGTAGGGCTCGGTACCGCTCCTTCTGCCTCTTCTGTTGCAGAATGTGTTGAAGGGAGAGAGGAAGAGACGCTCTCTCGCAGTCGGACCTCGGGCCTACCTCCTGTTCCCTGGCCCCCTTGCTCCG